TTAAAGATAGAGGATGCAGCAAATTTCCTTCCTACCCTTCCAGTACAGGGCTTTCTTCTGCTTATTCACTGCAGCCCTAAGAGTCATTTTGACCCAGTTCTTGACACAGAAGGTTTTGGGGAGAAAGAAATCCCTCCCAATCACTTTTAAGGCTGGATGTGCAACAGTTTGGCACAATCCTGCCAGATCGTGCCTAAATTAGGCTGTTTGACATCTTTGCTCTGACACAAAGATGGAAAAGCATCACCTCATATAGCTCTTTGCTGGTATCATGCACTTGGTGATCCTACATGGAATAAGTATTAAAAAACCCAAAAGGTTTTAAACTGTGGCCAGTTTAATCATTTATTTCCACCTTGTTTAATATGTAGGAATTGAAGGATACAGTTTATAAAGGGAAGGGGTGGGGAGCCTTCAAATCCTCAGCTGTGGGAACCCACTGGAATTACTGCATTTAAACCAATCTGCTGACAGAAAGGCTAAGTGTTGAAAACACCATAATCCTTCCTTTGCAGTAAGAGCAGGCAGAAAATTCTGCCTTTAGCTGTATTTCTCCTCGATGCCTTTAGCACTATTTCTCCTCTAAATGATTTGACTAAAAAAAGGAATTTGGCAACTAAGAAAATCAACTTTCTTCCTTATTAACCTTCTGCTTATCAGCCACAACATATGTGCACAAATCCAATTAGGGAGACTTCATGATGCTTTGAAAGGAGCCTTCAGCACAGTGCCTGCAGCACCCCAGCCAGCAGGCTTAGCTCACCACGAATGTGGCAGGAGGCTGTATATATATATATACATGCATATATATATATAGTGTATATACATATATATAGGTGTCTTAAAAAGGAGTCTCCCCCTGTGCTGTGCTCTGGGGACACCCCCCCTGCAGCCCTGATCCAGCTCTGGGGAACAGCACAAGAGGGACATGGAGCTGCTGGAGCGAGGCCAGAGGAGGCCCCGGAGCTGCTGCGAGGGCTGGAGCAGCTCTGCTCTGGAGCCAGGCTGAGAGAGCTGGGCTGGGGCAGCTGGAGAAGAGAAGGCTCCTGAAGGGGACACCTTA